CCAATAAACTACACATTCTTAACATTAAAATTTTTTCGTGTCATATACACTTTAACGGCAACACAATGGCCACCATGCATGCTTTTTCTTTTATAAACTCTCTTGGGAATTCTTGCAACCCATCAATTGTAATGTTATTCATATGGAATCGATAAGTTATTGACCAAAATCATAGTCGAATCGTTCTCTTCCATGTCGTAGTTGCTTCCACGACACACATATTCTCACAAAAGATTCGGTTTTTGATTTATTAGCTCTTGATTATGGTACTCACTGCTCTCTCGATCCGCTATAAACTCCTCACCATACTCACCATACCCCAAGCGCTGGGTTCATATACACCGATCAAAATTTGATGTCAATTAGCCAGCTTAGCGGCTCCCCAGTCCCCCGACAGCCGCTACGCTGGCTAATAATCAATGATTTTTCAACATCCAGGCCCCGCTATGAAAATAACAGTTCTAGAAAATTTAATGCGTCAACGTAGAAGACCTTTATAATGAACGAAGTATGCAAGGAAACACATTATGGATTTTTTGAAGACGTAGAGCGAAAATATGGCTAAAGAAGATTTCGCTACATCGCCTGGTTTACAATGTAAAACACAATAGCATTAAAATGACAAAATATTGGTCAAGAAGTGCTTGAACTCTATGGGGAACAAATCAAAAAAGCAGGTTCAGAATGGCGACGTCTTGCTGCACGGAAACCATTATGATGAATAAATGTCATTTTTATTCAACACTGATACAACATCAAAATAATTCATTTTTACGTTCTAATAATATTATCCTAGAAAGCATTGCTTTACTCTCGTAATTAAGCGTATTTAAGCCTATATAAGGTTATAATGATCCCTTATTGATTCATCATTATTTTGAAGTTTACAGTGTCTTTTCTTCCGCTAAACCTACGAGAAATGAGAAGGAAAAGAGCATTCGATAAGCTGGATAAATTCAGAATGATAATTTATCAGCTGAATAATTAACGACTTGAAGTGCATAGTTCCTAGCAAGCTGGATCCCCCAGAAGAATCGAACAGATTCCCATCTAAACTTACCAATATTAAACAAGTTGAACAGCAAAGGCGTATATTTTAGATAAACAAAGGATGATAGTAGGAGTAACGGCCACCAAACCTACTATAATAGTTTGGAGTTTTGCCTTCTTTTTCGTCCTTCTCTGCATTGCGACCTTGTCTGACGATCATACAAACACTGATTCCCATAAGAGCAGCTATTGCACAGACCAAGCCTATTCCACCCAACACAGACACCAACACAGCCATTATAAATCCAATGCCAACAAGCTTTTAGCTAGAATGTCTTATTTTCTGACGATTTTTCGTTTCTGTGCCTTGCCGTGTAACGACAACTGCGACAATATGGCTTCTGATTCTCTCGGCTTGTTTACGCTTAATACGACATCTAATAATTATGGAAATGAGACTCGTTATGCATGAATACCAATTTGGATATTAAAGCCGCTACGATTGAGTAACGATTGAGGAAAACATTATAATTGAAATATAAACAATCATAGATCGACGCTTCGACATTATCAGATGTCATTATCGTAATCGAAAATTAAGTGAAAGTGATAATGACTTCTAATGATGTCRAAAACTTCGGGGGGAAAATGGTTCTAAAAATGGGTTAAAAATTGTTGTCATTGTTGTAGCCTTATTCTTTTCACTCAGTAAGAAATTCATAATTGCTTTCCGATGATTTTCCGAACTTTGATATACGTGGTTTTTTTTTTAATGCAGAAGCTTTACGCATACGCTCATTTCAGAGTTATGATAAGTAGATACCGGCTTCTTAAATTGATTTTTTAATTTTGGTTCGGTCAATATTTCGGAAAATCTTCGGAAAGCAATAAGCATCGACTGGTTCACACAGCACAATGGAGTTCACCGAAATGTGATGAAAGATGACAATAGGGATGAATATACACTGTAATCAAATAAATAAGGGCTTAGCAAAATTACCGCCCCAAACTGTCGTCATTTCAGACTCGAGATTGAAAATCTTGAAATGTTTCAATGAAAGTTTAACTTACATTATGTTGCATACATATTGCAGTAAAAGAAGAGAAACAAACCTGTTGATAGCAACATGTGGGTTAGCCACGCCCACAGCACTACAGGATCCACTTGGCATGTGGTTGGACACGCCCCTCCATCCACTTGACATGTGGATTGGACACGCCCCTCTCTCTTTGTTGACAGCTTAATTGATTTGTACTTAGCCAAATATTCATCACATTCTCGGTTTTGGAGGCCTTTTTTAACAGAGGTTGCTAGCTTGATCGGAGGGTTGGTAAATCATTGATTTAGTATATCGCGTTTTACTTCATATTTGGTACAGAAATGTGATCACCCAAAAGTTTTACTTTAATAAATAATAACAAGCTTTGCCATATATAACGCTTCTATCCGTTTTAAAAATCATTAAAAAAATTTGTAGACAGATATTATAGAGCGTTTTCACTCACGTGAGAAGACAGCCATAAACGATAGAAACTTTCCGCACAGTATCATTGCATAAAAATAGAGTTCAATTCCCGGAGGATAGAAAATCTGATGTATTGTTTTGGTACCCCATAATGGCCGCTGTGACGTCACGTGAAAACGCTCTATAGTTACATATTATATCCATTTCAGCGCTTCATTGACATGTAAATATAATAGACAAAGAAAAGTATTCCTTGTAGATTCGAATAGGGTAAAACATTGGTCTATCAGTTAACCACTCGACAACGTTACGATAGACCCCTTGCATTGATTCCCTAGAGGAATTGTTCTGGGGGACAAAAGAAAGGCCGTCTTTTCTTATGCAAAAAAAAAAAAAAAAATCCATTGTTTTGTTCCCCAGAACAATTCCTCTAGGGGCTCAGTAAGGGGTCCATAGAATCTACAGGACTTATTTCTATATATCTACGTTTTTCCTCTAGACTAAAGGGCTCTATTTCATGTCAAACTATTTGTTAAAAGCGCAGCGTATCGTTGCACTGTGTTACACTTTCCTGCACTGTTTCACACTTTTTTGCACTGCATTGCAACAACACTGCTCTAAGCCAATCAAAATTTAATATTTTTTTCACGTATTTTATTACATGTCCAAACTATTGGTTATGAACGCAGCGTATTGATGGACGAGGTGAGATTTATTACCAAATAACTGTGATCAGTTTCGTGCGAGAAAAAATGAAACTGCTGGTGCCAAACGAGGGCGTGTCACTTTACACGTGGAGGCGATCGATCATCACTGATTGTGGCAGTTAATATTTCATTCAACACTTCTTTTGTTATTCCTTTTGCTCCAACGAAAGACTAATAACCTATATTCGCGGGCCAAATCGTCAGTATTATAGAGGCTTTGCACCATCACGTAATGGCAGCCATGACAGGAGGCAGGAACATTTGATTTTGGTCTAATCTGATTTACATGAGAAAGAATTCAAAACACTCTATTGTTATGCCTCCTGTCATGGTTGCCATCATGTGATGGTGCAAAGCCTCTATGACACTTACATTCCCTTTTTATTTTTATAACTTGTTGTATTCAACACACCAACACAGTCCCTAGTCATAATCACTAGTTACTATCACTTCATCTTTTGCTAGATCTTTTGCTATAGAACCCTTGCATGTGACGTCAAAGCAGCTATAAGTCTCGGGGTCACAGAATTCCCAATTCTCTTGGGATTAAAATCCTTTATGATACTAATATGTTCAAGTTTTTTCCCCCAACGTAGGGATTTAGTGCAAGGGGTCTATTTTTGGATTTTAATCGGCTGACAAAAGTCTTTGAATATCATTATTTGTTCTAAGATGGTGGTCAAACACTGAACAATAAAGATAAATTTGATTTTTGATTAAATATTCTCTCACCTGATGTAAAGAGAGATGGTTAAGAGCTGCAATATGTTAGGTTAGCGTGGACACTAAATGAGCTAAATATATTGATATCCGCTCATTTTCTTATGATAATGATTATGTTGGTCTTTAGGCAAGTTATAAATGTTTCAGTGCATTTCCACCGAGACATAAGCGACACATCACTCTTACGATTATGTTTGTGATTATGATGATGATGATTATGTCACTAGTGGGTACGAAGCTTAAACAAGTTGAATTACCTATTATCTCTACGATAAAAGCAATTTTAAAACAGTTTTGGGGCGTGTTATCTACTTCTCTCACAGCTCACAGGTACTTGTAAAACCTCTAGTGCGTAAACTCGTTGACACAACATTTCCACGTTAAAAATCCATTTATTGCAACCGGCCATAAACATGTTTACGCCCCTAAACTGTTTTTAATTGGTTTTATCGTAGAGCGGATAATAGGTTCAAATTTTTAACTTGTGACTAGGAATGCATTGCACGTGGTTTATTTGTCGTGACGTCACATTGTAATCAGTACAAAGAAAGCGTAGAATCCATCAGGTTTTCAGTTGCAAGTTATCTTCGTTAGAGTAAGCAAGCTGACCAAACACTGTGAGGAACTGGAAACGGAACGCGAAAAGTCTTGAAAATGTTTTCAAAATCTGAAGCTTTTTTTCTTGTGATGGTCGTCATGATGGCGATGGTGTTTGCTGACGCTGCAAAACACGGGTCTGAACGGCGAGGTGGTGGAAGTAAGTATTATATCCTCCGCTTTCAATATTTTGATGTCTTGTCATAACGCCAGRTACAGTTAGGTCCCTAATAACCCCCCTTGTACTAATTCCCATGCAATCTGGAGGACAAAACAAAAGAATTCCCTTTCCTTGAAGATTGAAACCTTTTTTCTTTCTTTTTCTTTTCCTTTTTTTCTTTTCCTTTTCTTTGTTTGTTTGTTTGTTTGGTTTTNNTTTTTTTCGTTTTTGTTTTTGTTTTGTTTTTGCTAATATTTTTTATTTCTTTGACCCTTAGGAAGGGATTTAGTGGGACTAGCTATCCCTTTGAATTCAAAACATCCATATTTCTGGGATCTTTTAACAGCTTTATTGGCCTTCAAACTTCTCAATGAACAGAATAATTAACAAACATACTAAAGAAAAGAAAAAAGAAAGGAAAAAATAATACAAAAAAGAATTAAGGACCAAGGCGGTGGGCGCGCAATGGGACCTAGAGTCCCATCCCCGCCGGTCAGCTCTAAACTGGCTTTTTTAAACCCAGATCTCTTTGAAAACCCCAATCAGATGTTACGAATACACGGAAAACAACTGTCAGGTGACAGAAAATAGAACAATTTCTCCTCCACCTCCCTCCGCCCCTCCGACTGAAATAACGACTGGTCCCTAAGAGGTACCTAAGTCATGTCCAGTTGGGCTAGAGAACTAATGGTTTTTATCCCTAAAAGGTACCAATTATCTATGACTTAAGTGATAAAAGTCAGATAATGAACCGAAAATAAATATTCTAAATTATTACAACTGCCATTCTGACTGTCATCATATAATCTCAGGTATCTTATTGCCTCAAAACACACTAAGAGGTAATTGCTTACTCTCTGGTAGCACTTTTAGATATGTGACACCCTAACAGGTACTGGCTTACTCTCTGGTAGCACTTTTAGGTTAGTGACACCCTAACAGGTACTGGCTTACTCTCTGGTAGCACTTTTAGGTTAGTGACACCCTAACAGGTACTGGCTTACTCTCTGGTAGCACTTTTAGGTTAGTGACACCCTAAGAGGTACTGGCTTACTCTCTGGTAGTACTTTTAGATTTTCGACACCCTAAGAGGTACTGGTTTACTCTCTGGTAGCACTTTTAGATTTGTGGCACCCTAAGAGGTACTGGCTTACTCTCTGGTAGCACTTTTAGATTTGTGACACCCTAAGAGGTACTGGCTTACTCTCTGGTAGCACTTTTAGATTTTCGACACCCTAAGAGGTACTGGCTTACTCTCTGGTAGCACTTTTAGA